TTGAAGTAAATAGAAGAACTAAAGAACAATATAGGTATAAAAAAAACATGCAATTTCCCCAGATGCCTGGATGGATTTGAGATTTGATAATTTTCCTATCTAATATGATTAAATTTAATGATAAACTTTGAATTCCCGTGGATAAATACGCGTTACTTTGAGATTTCAGAGACATTTTTGTGAGCATTTTCAATTTCTCAGCTCCCAATTTTCAGAACCTGAAAAAGGTGTTGAACTGTTGCATGGTCTGGAGAACATGTACATATGTCTTATTATATAATCAAATTAGTGCAGTGTCACACATGCATGAACAAAGAAAGAGAACAATATGAATTCGCATTTAACAACATTTCTTTCCTATTCTTACAGATTACAGCACATTTAAAATCTTAAGGTAAAAATTATTTGCAAGAAGAATATACGACTAATTTATGAATACTTGCAAAAATAAAAATACTTTGCAGAAATCGACGGACTTATATCTTCTACAATCATGCCAAATCTTTACCTTGATTGCAGGTAGCTGCCTTATCTTTCTTGCGCTATTAAGATCTATCTTGTGAATATTGATATACTACTTCTATTTTGACACAAATGACATGCATTATTTCATGCAGAATTAATTTTAAAAGAACTTACTATTGAAGATCGGGGGAAAACAGGTTGATCCTTTCTCTAATTATATAAATGACCTCTGTCTGTAAAAGAGGTGAAGAAAGCGAACAGCGATTTATCTGTCAAATTACCTAGTACCTACGTATGACCTATTCATGAACGACATAATTTATAAATACGCCCGTAAACAGAAACGTTTACTTATGAGCGAGTATCAGATCATCTTCGGTTCCCATATTAAATAATGATCAAACAAACTCTTGGCACATTGAAGTATAAATATTTGCGGATAAGCATCATTTTTCGAGTATGTAGATTTTCACAGTGCTCTTTTACTGCTGGTGTTTTATTCCGAGGGAAGAATTTGCATACAACAGACCCTGCGATTCACATGTATCAAGTTTTATTTTCTTTTTATATTGATATTTATATCATACAATAATTTTCGTGGAAGTTTGCTACTATATGAAGAACTTACCTATGAAATAAATCCATTTTCACACTAAACAAGTCTTTCCTTTAAGCTAAATGATTTGTGATGATATACAGAAATATTTTGTTACCTTATCAATGCAAAACATACATGGTTCATAACAAAAGCTTGTTTTAAAAATCAATAATCAAATAATAAAAACCGTTTAATGCATATTTTCCAATTTTCGTTCTAATTCACTTATACATACTCGTATATCAAGAAAAGAAGTACTTTTTTTAACAAATAAATATTTTAGCTAAGCAATATTTATTATAGCTTTCTCCCTCCTTTTCCCTAAAATCGTCGTCAACATTATCATTAACTATATGAGAATTGTCCACTTTTCTCTTAATCTCTTCATTATTTTCTTGTTTTTCAATTTAAATTCCTATCGTATATTTTATAGGTTTCTTAGTCATTGACTTAAAGAAACTTGGTTCCCCACTTCATGAGACGGCTACCTAGCGGCCGTTTATCGTATATCCAACAGGACCCTCTTTCTCCGCAGGTTTTTCTAAACCATACAGGTGTTGTCTGGAATGATGCGAAGGAAACTTTGAGCCGGTATTATCCCTATGATAAATTTAGTATTTTATGAGTTTCAGTATTTTCATTATTCAATGACTCAAAATATTATACGAACCCCGTTTCCTAATTATTTAGAAATATTTATATACACACACGAACCTAGCAGTTCAGTGCACATTGCATACATTTACGCAGCCTTTTCCTTTTCCACCAACATGCAGTCCTACGAAATTTTTAGTATGTTTTTATTGTTGACTAGACATGATATAATTTCGTGGAAAAATGGTCAAACTCGTGTTTAAAATGCAGACTTTTGCATTTTTATCACTCTGCATTAACATAAGAATTGCTGCTCCAGTGATTCTAAAGTTAAAGATGAAAAGTGATATTTTATGACAACAACGCTAACGACAACGCCAACAGGACAAACTTCAATCAGAAAAGCTAACGAACAATTTGCTCAGCTAAACTGTGAGTGTTTGGTGATCAGTAAACGGACGAAAAGCGAATGGTGAACGCAAGCCAAGCGAAGGGTGAACATGCGGAGAACGAATTCTAAAAAGAGAAAGGAGAACTTACTTACAAATGATTTATAACACATATCCTTACTCAAAGTTTTTGCCTTGTTATGGCTAACCAGTAAGAATATGAAACTTTAAATCTTTGTAACAATATGGGGTTTTCATATCTATCTAGAATATATGTTATGTCATTCAACAAAGTGACGGCAGCAAAATAAAAGAAACTTGAAGGCAATTCCAAAACCATAGTAGCTCAACAAAATGAAACAAGTACGTCCACGGTAATTACCGTCGATATATGGCTGAAATACTGAAGATTCGCCATTAAGCAATACACAATCAATCAATTCAAGGTTTACTCAAAGCCAGCATAAATCAAAATTCAACAGAAAGACTCACTGGCAACTCTCATAGAGCCAAACAGGAGAAAGATAAACGCAGATTTTGTAATCTCCACAACACTATCCAATGCTTGGAATTTCATTACATACAGCAAAAGCATATTGCATAAGGCGGAATACGTTAGGTGGAAAGCTTTTCAGAGAAAAATGGTGAAAACCTAAATATTCTGAATTGTATAATAAGGGTACAAAATAAATTTTCAAATACCATTTCAAAGTTCCGAATCGATAACAAAGGTGAATATGTTAAGAAAAAGTAATCAAAATTCAGTTCAGATTAATGTGTGAGCATTTAATTTTATCTTCAGAAGAAAGACTGACGAGAGTTATTTTCAATCTCAGTACACTGAACAAGTTTGTTGTCCAAAAGTACTTCAGAATCGAAGGATTTCATATGATACAAAGTGTATTTAAAAAAAAATACATGGTAAATTAAATATAAAAATGCTTATTTCTATATCCATATTCTTAAGAAGCACATGAAGTTTCTGAGTTTCAAGTGGAGAGGGGAAATGATGCTGTACAAATGCTGTACAATCGTCTCCCTTTTGGAATGGCATCGGGAAAAAACATTCAAAATGATAATGAAATCTGGGTTTCAATTCTGCTAAGAGTAGGTGTCCGAATGATCACTTATCTGGACGACAATTATTTCATAAAACAATCATTAAAGGTAGAAACAAATAATCGAGATGCTTTATTGCACCTTTTCCATCATTTACGCTGGCAGAACACAACTGTAAAAAATGTTCTTCTGCAAGTGATGGAATTTCTGGTACTCAGAATTCAATCAGTATACATGAGTATTTCATTGCCACAAGCAATCTCCCTTGTAGAGTTGTCGTTCGTTCCTCTCTCAGAAAAGAACAATTTCTAAAATAGGCAAGCTATTGACAAATAAGTTGATCATACAAGGATATCAAGTCTCGTTTAAAACCAACATTTCGCAAATTCTATGGTCGATACAATGACCTTGTCAGTAATGACAATCAAATCAAACATTCTATTTTTTTAAAAGTATATAAAACCAAAAATTATTACTTATTTGCACACATTTACAGACATTTGCAGATATTGCCATAAATTTGCATAAATTTATATACATTTTCATAAATTACCGTGCATTTGCATAGACTTATATACATTTGCATGGATTTATATACATTTGCATAAATTTGCATAGACTTTTACATAAATTACCATAAATTTGCATATATTTACATACATTTGCATAGACTTATATATATTTGCATAAATTAACAATCAATTTGCATAAATTTACATACACTTGTTTAAATTACCCTTTCGTTTATGGTTATATGTGCAAATCTATGGTAATATATGCAAATTTATGTATATGTATATTAATTCATGCAAATGCATGTAAATATATTGTGCTATATGTAAATGTACTCAAATATATGGTGCAGACGTATGCAAATTTATGGAAATATATGGAAATTTATGTAAATTTATGGTAATTTATGCAAATATATAGAGATTAGGGCAATTTTATGTAAATATGTAATAACTAATCCAAATGTACGGTAATAAATGCAAATTTATGTTACCTGTGCAATTTAAATTTTTTTTTTTTGCAAATGCATCATAATATATGCAATTCTATGGTAATCAATACACATTAATGGTAATGTTAGCAAATTTATGGTTAGTTATGCAAATCATGGAAGAGTATGTTACATTGCAAATATGTTATTATAATTCTGAAAATTTCAGGAAATGTAATATTTGTAATAAATAGCACATTAAACTATTTTTAAAAGTAGGTCAAATGTCAAGTTTAGGATCACGAGGTCGGTAACCATGATATTTTACAAAAAACAGTGCCAGGCAATATATGTGCAAAATATCCATACCTCTAATAGTTCTTAGGATACAGGGTGTGACAGACGGACAGACAGCTAGACGGACAGGCAGACAGATAAAAGACAGACAGCTAGACTGACGGACAAACAGAGAAACAGACAGACGCCGGGTTAAGTGATCACTAATTGTCAGACTGCTCAGCAGGTGATACAAAAAGATACGTGAAAGATACTCTAGCAGGAATTGTACTCAGTTCCAAAACCTTTCTGTGAAAACTTTGAAATTCAAAGCATACCCAGTCGAATCAAAAAAGATTTTTGTGCAAAAGGGTAATACTAGAAAGTAAATTATTAATCATGAATGTAAAACTATGTTTACATTGCAAAATTCATAATAATTAGCTTTTGTTTGCGTCTTTGGTAAGTTGCAGTACATTTTTTGCAAAAAGTATTTGATATGTTCACAAAAGAATATTAGGTTCTGTATATAAACTATCGGTTCAGTGCGCATATATTTATACAGCCTTTGGCATGTAAACCAACATTCTTACGACACTATATGAGTTCTACTGTTGAGTAAACATTACATAATTTAAAAAGAGAGACAGAGACAGAGAAATGGTAAAATGCAGGATTTTTGCTATATTATTACACTCTTTAGTATCATAATAATTGCTTTAATGTATTGTCCGAGCAATCGGTTGTATGTTGTTGTCAATGTCAGGAACCTATTGATTAAAAAAATTACCGAGCGTATACTGCATCTTTCATTGTAAATAATACGATTTTTTCGGGTCACTTTGGTTTATAGCATAATTAAATACTAGTACACATTGTATAGGAATGATTTATCAAATTCATTTGTTCTCCTCATAATTTTCTTGTTTTTTAATTTCCATCTCCATGGCGTATATATTTTCGGGTTTATATGTAACTGACGCTATCAAAAGAAAGATGACCCCAAGAAACTTGGTTCCCATCCACCAGATCATGAGACGGACACCTAGCGGCCATTTATCGTATACCCAACAGGTTCCCCTTTCTCCACATGTTTCCTGCCAAACCATACAGGTGCTGTCTAAAATGGCACCAAGGAAGATTGGACCCGGCGTTGACCCTTTAATAGCAATTTAAAATTTTGAACATTTGATATCAAGCAAATCGTCCATAATTTTATCATTAACTGTCTCAAAAGATTGCTAGGTAATGATTCTTTTTTATTTCATAATTCCTCGAATTCCTATAAAAATTCCTTTAAACAAATTAAAATAAAAAGTATATCATCTGTTATCATCTTTTGAATCCAGAGGAAATGTTGTAACAAAGAACTATGTCTATTGCTCCAAAGTAAACCATTCGGACATAGAAAAGAATAAAGGAATCTTATTTGGGAACAAAAAAGATGAGTGCTTCATGAAATGTAAGGACAACAAACAATAACAATGCTAAAAATCAAATTAAACAGTACAAATTATGAGCAGAGCAAACATGGACTTCTGAAAACATCAGAGGTGGGATCAGGTCCCATGGAGGAGTAAGTATCCCCTGTCGACCGGTCACACCCCGCTGTGCGCCCTTTGTTATGATCTGGTTAACGGAGAAATCTGTAGTAAATTAAGTATGAAAATGAGGCTGACAACCATCATTGATAGTTATTTAGATTCTTTCTTGAGTTCAAAGCTTTCCTTACCAAGGAGTCGACCAAATGTGAATTGAATCCCTGCCCCTAAAGCTCGCTGTTGATTAGGAATGCATCTGAGGTAAAAATAAACATGAATCTTGTTTATATTCCTTTGTTGTTTAAAGCGATCAAAGTTTGTATGCATTTTTGTCAAATGTATTGTGAAAATTACTAAGAATCAATTTTCCATGTGACTACCTGTACATAGCTGTAAGCCCGGGAGAGAGGGAGCAGAAAGTCAAGAACATCATGAAAAACAACAGTACACTAGTTACGTAAAACCAGATACATCGCTCGGAACATTTCCCAGTAGTGAAAGGGACCGAGGGAATAGTACTGTTGATGCAAGAACAGTATTGGTATATCTAAAAAAAAAAAAGAAGAATGATTAAACAATATTTTTCAGACTTCATGTTATAACTGAGATAGGAATTGGAATAATTATGCAATATTTGGGTCAATAGTAAATCAGAGTTTATGATTTAAGTCTTTTTGATCGCCTGCAAAATTTCTCAAAAAGCCGTGAACCGAATTCAATGAAAACTTAGCCTGGCACAAAAGACACTGATGTGGATCTAGTTATATATACGGTATCTTTTTTTCTATCTATAAACTAAATTAGGATTACATTGATAGCCACAATATGTCTCCTAATATACCGGTAGGTCTCAAATTTTATGAAGTGCTCCAAAACAGAAGACGATAGAATTTCAGTAAGTTCTGGCGATTCATAATATTATATAAATATTTTATACAAAGCAAACACAGGTTATTATTTCCATGTCTTTTTACATTTACGACTAGATTTAACATACCATAGTTCCATTTACAGTCCTCTCACCGCTGCAGCCGGCATGACATGGAGAGAAGTAGACAATCTGATTTTCGTCACACACTGGTTCGAACCCAACAGTAGTACAACCGCAGTCAACATTACAAGATGATATCATGGAAGATTCACTAATTGCAAAATCATTTTTTAATATCATAATTTATGTAGCTATATCACATGCCACAAAATCTACAAAAGGGCAAAATTCCAAAGTAATTTTCATATTTTTACATTTGTTAGAGATGTTTTGAAAAAAAATCTGCTGAACAAAATAAAACCTATTATCTGGATAAGTCGTAGAAACGCCAGCAATTAGTGGACTTGGACAAGTAGTCAGGAAAGCAGGTCCAAATAGTATACAAAGGAACATACATGCGCAAATGAAGCGAATGATACCTCTACATCTCAAATCCAATCTTTTGACTATATAACCACCAAACATCATTCCTCCACCAGTTCCAAAAACAGTGATTACACCTAATGTCCAAAGATTAAAAGAAATAAACATCTGAATTTAAGAATACCACTTTAGTGCAACTACTTGTATGTTGACGTTTATAAAGAACGTTTTATATGTACCCATAATGTATCCAGCTTCCGTAATGTTTATGTGATAATATTCTGTAAATAATTTTGCACCAAAAGTTGAAATTCCTCCCATTAAAAAGATTTCAACAGTTCCACCAAGTACAATAAAGAGGAACGCAGGATTTTTCAACTGAAATTAACAGAGTATGAATAATTAATGAAATTCTAATATAATATATTATTGCTGAAGTTCCTATTGAAGGTAAGAGTTAATTTTGGAAATACAATCACTTTGAAAGACAACATTTTGAGCATTTACCAGCAGCCACACAGACTTTGGGAGATGTTTTATGCTTTTTCCAAAGTTTTCCTGCTCTTTGTATATGTTCCTCATATTTGTTTGCACTTCTGAAACTCTTTCTTTTTGTATTTCATCATATCCTTCGAAATAGAATAAAATGAGATGAAAAAATACTTTTGAAGTTTTATCAGACCGCGAATGATCTCTCTCTCTCTTTCTCTCGGTCTCTCTCTCTCACGGAAGAGAATGAAATTTCAATGTTTTACCTGGTAATCGTTTTGGAAAACCACTAATTGGAAATAAAACAAGAAGAAATCCTCCTATCCCTGTAAGAACACCAATCCACCATGCTCCTACCCACTGTGGACTTGATGGATCCAATGTCAGACTAAAATTTTGTGCTTTAAAATATTATATTAAATAACAAATGTTTCAGAGTGCATATCTACTCATTTATGGATTCAAATGAAATACCTAAGATTGAGACTTATTAAAAATGATATACCATTCACGCTACAATTTTACCTGAATGTCTCGAAACTTTTTTAAAGAGGACATTGACCTTGAATCTTACCTACTAGAATCTATTTTATCTATGTCAACGAAAATGGACAAAGTTTGTGCTCCTGCAATATATCCCACTGCAGCACCAACTGCTGAGACTCCAAACACACAACCTTAGCCAAAAAAATCGAAATGGTCGTAAAGTCTCTGAAATGTTCTACAATCCTATATTGAGCAAACGCTGAATGAACGATGAACGAAATGCATGAGAACAAAATATGAACAAAACTTCGTGAATGAAGCGATGAGAGAATACTGAAAAGAGAACAAAATATCGAATACAGGAGCATGCTCGAACAGAAACTGAACGCTAAACGGATGTTGAAAGAAGAGCAAGTTGTGAACAAACACTCAACGTAAGAAGAGCAAAGTGCTTCTATTTCAAGCAATGAAACACATTTTCTTATTGATCATATTAATTCACAAATGAATGATAATTTAATAGTCACATTAAAATAATCTCTTTTATTGATTAATCATTTAGTATGTACCCGACGGTGAAATCGTTAAGGTAAGCATAGTTTCATTTGTATAGTTAATAAATTTTCAACCCCTCAAATGTCGATTTAAATGTTGCCAATGAGGTGACCATTTTCAGAAGAAAAAAATTGATATTTTACCCGAATTTTCTCTATTCGCATACGTTGTCCTTAGAACTTGATAATCGAAAGGTCTACCTCATGAATAAAGTAATCTAGTGAAAATTTTTATCTTTCAGACTTGAATTTAGTTGCTATACATTTGACTACATCGCTAGATGGATTAATGCCAAGAGAATTAAAATGAAGAAGTTCTAGATACCTAGGCTAAAGATATTACGTCCTGATAGTCTCAATATACTGACTTTTACAAAAATAAACACCCATTGAAAACGTGCCTCATTGTTTTAATCTGTCGTTTTTTTGGTCTACTTAGTGTTGTTTCATTTCCCCCTTTCGATTATATCATTGTCCGCACTTTAACGTACTTGAATCCCTTTTTCACAGGGATAGTTTGTGACAAATTTGGTTTGAATTAGTTCAGCGGTTGTAAACATAAAGATGAAAATGTAACGATAAGAACGCCTATCGACAAATTGTGGTCAGAAAAGCCAATGAGCCTTATTCAAGCTAAACAATAAATGCTGTATGTGTGATTAGTAAAGGGACGAAAAGGGAACAGTAAGCGAACGAAGACTGAACGAATACAAACCACTCGGCACACTTCGACCGATTCGTACCTCATTTGATGAGAGTGATGGAATCACCCGAGGTTTGACGAATGGAATACTAACACCAAAAAGGGAAAGTAGAACTAATAAGGGACTGTATACTTACAAATGATTTATAATACTTATCCCTACTTAGAGAATTTATCTTGTCTACGATTTGTCATAATACTCTAGTATAAAAACATAACTAGGAATATAAAACCTTAAATCTTTCTAACAATAAGAGTTTTTTTCCCCATATTTATCTGGAATTTGGAAAGTTTAAAAAGTATTCACCGAAATAAAACGGAGAGTCTCTCGTTCTACTATTTTCCTCAATGTATGTTAATCCAAGGATAAACACAGGTACTGATCCGACGCCAATTAAAGCGTTTCCAATGATCAGCAAGGCGTAGTATAAATCGTTTTTGTCAACTCCGTTTGTTCCAGTCAAACAAGATTTGTCACTCGAGTTGGAGGCAAAGCAGAGGTTTCCAGTTGAATTTGTGATGGTACCTTGTTTCGTTTAAAAGAAAAAATATTAATGTATGCTTATTAAATTAGTTTTAAACTTGTGGACTTTTATTGCAATTTGCATACATTCAACACTACATGGAAATCCTTTTAACTGCACTTACTAGATAATGTGTATTCATACAAGCCTCCCACAAAATGCGGCGAAACAAAAACGAGACACCCTAAAGACATAACAAAAAAGCCTATGCCCATTAAGCGAGGTTTGTTCGCATGCGTTCCAAGAAATCCCACCAAAATAAATACGGCGGCAGATCCAAAATCATTGGCCGAGGAAATCATACCAGACCTCTGACTGGACAGTCCGTATCTCTTCTCCAAGGTGATGATAATGATATTGATGACGCCACGGACGACAAAGCCTTCCAGGAAGCCAAAGATACAATGCCAAACCACGTACCATTTTACAGTATTCAAGAACTGAATGGAACTGAAATATTGAAATATATATAAGCCCTAAAAATGTTTACCTTAAAAATATTGTATAACATTATTCTTGTGTATCTTATTACCAGTAAGCCAGAAATGAAGGGTTCACAATGTTTCACTCGACATTCACAACAATATGACAGTATATGCATAGAATTCCAAAAGTTACCTTGGACGTACTATGCAGCAGCCATATCTTGACTTCACACATGTTTCGGGTGATTTGATCATTTTTTTCCCAATAGCTGTGTCGTATGAGAAATTTCTATGTTAAAAATTAATCTCACAGAGCGGATCCACTCACCTACATATCAATCGGAGAAAACTTCTCATAAATATTGCAAACAGGCGAGTTTTGCAATACAAATAAACAATGTATCTTGTTGCATATGTGTGCCTACTTTACGACACTGTTATATTTGGATTTTAAAATTATCTATTTGAAATGTTAAATAGATTGCAGATGATTCGTAAAGATTTTAAATCCCTCTCCAAAAACTACCTACAAAGTAAAAGGATTCGACAATCATGACTGCACCAAGCTAGGACACTTAAACGGGTTCCAGCTCAATGATTTGCTTACATAATGTTAAAAATGTCCTTTGCTGTGTGGTCATCAAACAGAACATAATTCTGAATACTATGCTCATACTGTAAAATAAATCAAATGTCTCTCTATTCCTAAAACAACACACAATTCGAGTTTTATGAAAAGGATTTTGAGTACAAAATTTTAAACATCCATAAGAATTTGCAAAAGTTCAACTGTAAGTGGGTCAAATCTAAACTAATGAAATCTATACAGAGAGAGAAAAGGGAGGGAGGTCATTTTTTGTCTCGCTCCTTGTGATGTTACGAAAAAATTAACACTGTCTGTCATAAAATGGTACAATTTCAGCTTCTTTGAATTAATCCTAACTTGCCTATGCTTGCCAGTCCTCCACAATGTAAACCCTGTAAACCGCCAATATTTTAATTCTACAGAAAGTATATTTCCATGGCAGCAATTTTAGAATAGCAAAGCTTACAAGAGATTACAGAAATTGTCTCTTTAAAGAATATTGCAGGTCCTAAATACACACACATTCCAACAAGTATTTGTAGAGTTTTGAAGGTTGAAGGAACAAACACACAATGAAAATTTATGGCTGGACCGAGAATCGTAACCCGAACCCCTGAATTAACTTGTCAGGTGCTCTAACCACTGAGCTATCCTGGCCAATATCTACGGTCCATATAGCCCAATTTACCACATTCTTCCCTCTCTAAAAAGTCTTCGCCCTCACAGACGCATAAATTCTTGTCAGAACCTACTGTTATATAATGACAATGTCTGAACAAGTGTAGTCAGGTCATTATATGTAGTATGAAAGGAGGAATGAATAATTACAAAATGAAATATTATATGAAATATGGAGATAACGAACAGCATTCAAGCTCAAAGTCCATTTAAACAATACAAATCGGGAGCAGGGCAAACACGGAACTCTTAAAACATCAGAGGTGGGATCAGGTGCCATGGAAGAGTGAGCATCTCCTGCCGACCGGTCACACCGACCGTGTGCTCCTTGTCATGATCGGGAAAAACGGAAAAATTCGTAAAAAAATCAGTGTGTAAATAATGGCCTAACAATTAGTATGAAAAACGTCAGTCAGCATTTGACTCAATGATAAATTGTATTTGCTGACAAGGTCATTGTATCTACCATAGAACTTACGAAATGATGACTTCAGACGAGACAGCTGATATTCTTGTTTCATCAACTTGTTTGTCAATAATTTACCTCGTTTTAGAAATTGTACATACGTAGAGCATGCTCTTGCGTATCGAATCAACTGAGAGATATATACCCCATATGCAGGTGATGAAGGTATATTGCTGCATAAGTAAGGGAAGTTGACGATTGAAAAGTTAAAGTCATCACGTTTATCATAAAGCTTGGTTATTAGATTACCATTAACGTCTTTCTCAAGTAAAATATCCAAATATGAAACAGATGTGTCAGACTCTGTGGTATCCTTTAACTCAAGCTCACCGGGAAATAACGTATCGACATAAGAATGGAAATAGCCATTGTTAATTGACAATACGTCGTCGATATATCTAAATGTCGAGTTGAAGGCTACAGTAAGTGTTTTCTTCTTTTCACGTATAGGATTTTGGACAAATTCTGCTTCATATGAATACAAAAAAAGGTCTGCTAATAACGGGGCGCAATTGGTACCCATGGGAATTCCAATAGATTGTTGGAAGACCTGGTCTCCAAAAACCACAAAGATATTGTCAATCAGAAACTCAAGCATATTTTTAATGTCAACTTCAGAGTACTTGTGTGTACAATCAGAATGTTTTTTAACAAAATAATTTTGCAATTGACCAATGACAAGGTAAGTAAATTTACGAGTTCCATTTTTATTGAAAAAGCAGCTATCAATGATATCAAAAAGCCTGGACTTTAATTTATCGTGGGGAATGGTTGTGTATAAAGTTGAAAAGTCGTAAGTTTTTAAGCTGTTGATTTTGGTAAAATCTTATGATTTCAAATTTTCCAAAAGTTCCTTGGAATTTTTAAGTATCCACATCTGATTTACAGCACTTCTCGAATATATTATTGCACAGTACTCTTGAAGTTTCTCCTTCACTACTGTTAATATCTTAGTGAGGAGTAAAGAAAGAGGTTTGGTTAAACATTTATATTGGAACCCGCTATGTATCTTTGTAAGGATTTTCATGAAGTTTCGGAATCCAATATAAATATGGTAATTCAAATTCACTTTGGTTATTTGGAATATTAAAAATATTCAAAACTGACATATGATTTTGAAGAATGTCTTCCTTAGAGAGGCAACTATGAGTATAAGTTGGATTACCACTTGTAGAATTAAATCCAAATTCCTCTAAAATACATTTAATATAATGAGCCTTACAAACAAAGACAATGTTGTTACCTGCTTTGTCAGCAGGGACCAGTACGTACTGATCATGTAATCTATCTTATTCTTTTTTCACTTCTGGATTAATGAATACAGAAGGATAGATGGTTCTCATATTGCCCCTCAATCTTTTAATGCGCGATTTTAACATACATCTGATACATTTAATCCATTCTGACAAAGTGTCAAGGTCTTCTTGAAATAATTATTTCAATAGTGGTCGTTATTCAATAGTGGTTGCAACAGCATTCTCAACCACTATTGAAATAATTATTTCAATAGTTGTTATTTCAATTGTGGTTGCAACACTACTCTTTTATTTGGCGTGAGGAATTGTTGTAGAAAGCGTAGAAAAATCACCGGTTTTGATGCTATTAATGTTTGAAATGCTTTGAGATTTTTAAATTTATGGAAACTCTTTGGAGTATTTAAAAGTTCTTGAATATGATGTAGAATACAGTAAAACTCGTTTAGTACGAACACGGATATAGCGAATTCACGGATATAGCGAAGTTTTCTTGGATCACCAGTTATATCAATTTTATGAATTCCTTAAACGGATATAACGAATTACGGATATAGCAAAGTAATTTCAAAGGTCCCAGTGACTTCGTTATAACCGAGTTTTACTGTAATATGTTTGAAGTTTCTCCTTCTCAGCAGTTAATGTTTCGGTGAAGAGTAAGGATATAGGCTTTGTTGAACATTCGTTGGACACTGCAATAGGATTTTATGACAGAGTTTAACATATTGCATACTTTTTGCATACTTTTTCGAATTCTGATCTCTCCTCTCGGGCCCCAGAAGGGTGGGGGCTGGACCATAACATTTAAACTTTTTCCCCTTCATCAAAATATACTTCATATCTTTATTCTGCAATATTAAGCCGTTTGAAAAGCTAACAAAGTCTTATAACGTACGTCTTCTTGAAAGGCGTAAAAGAGGCCTTTCACTTCGCTTTTTTAAAAAAGGCATAAAAAAATTTTTCTCGTAAAAACGCTTTTGATTCATTTTATTATACCCGTACTTTCTAAAGAATTTCGGGTATGTTGTTATTATCCTGGCACGACCGTCCGTTTGTCACACTTCTACCTCAAGATACTCTTACATTTTAAGCAGTAGCCAACTCATTTTTTTTAAATATAGCGTCATGCAGATGTGTCAAAAACGTTCCCTGAACTCCTCTTAAATTTTTGCATTAGCCAGCTCATTTTCAAATACGATTTTGAATGTTCTGTAGATGTGCAATGAGGTTTTGGAAATTTCATTTTTCACTCTAGGGGCTAAGTGGGGGTAAAAAAAACTCTTGTTTATCTACAAAACCTGGTTCCCTGAACTACTTTCACATTTTTCGCAGTAGCCCATTCATGTTTTGGAATATGATTGAGAATGACCTGTAGATGTGTAATAAGGTTTTAGAATTTCGATTTTCTCCCTGGGTGATTTGGGGTTCAAAACCTTTTTTTTCTAAATCAAGAGGTCCAAGGGCCTTATCGGTCACCTGAGTATAATACAACCCTGAGCAGAGAAGGTTTTCAAAGAAATAATACATTTTGACCATACAGTCAATAGAGCCCCACCCAGACACCAGAACCCCTGACCCAGGGGCCTCGAATGAAATATGTGGAGATAACGAACAGTATTCGAGCTCAAAAGTCCAATTAACATTACAAAATAGGAGCAGAGCAAACACGGGCCTCTAAGACATCAGAGATTGGATCAGATGCCATGGAGGAGTGAGCATCCCCTGCCGACCGGTCACATCCGCCGTGTGCTCCTTGTCATGATCGGGAAATAACGGGAAAATCCGTCGACAATTCAGTGTGTAAATAATGGCCTAACAATTAGTATGAAAAAAGTCAGTCAGCATTTGACTTAATGATAGATTGTATTTTGCTGACAAGGTCATTGTATCGACCATAGAACTTACGAAATGATGACTTTAAACGAGACTGCTGATATTCTTGTTTCATCAACTTGTTTGTCAATAACTTACCTCGTTTTAGAAATTGTTCATACGTAGAGCATGCTCTGACGTTTTTCAATTTTGGAAAAGACACACTAGTTCATCGTCATAATCAATTTGTCTGCTAAATATACAGAGAAATATACAGCAAAAAGATTTTTGAAGAATTAATGTTTTTCAGATCCATAGACCTCCCCCCCCCCAAACACCAGAGCCACATGACCCTGGGGCCAAAATTTCACTAAGAATAGGCATCCTTGTACATTATAACCAAGTGCTTAGTATATTTTCTTAACACCCAGGAGCAGAAAAGAAGATTTCTAAAGAATTTATATTTAAATTACATGCAATGTCAGAGGAGTTCTGAAAAATAAGATTTTTTGTATAAAATGTTTATCGAATCCCAATTGGTCTCCAGGATGAACTTGAAAATTCCTAAATCTTACTGCATATCTGGAGGACACCACCAATCAAATTCCCAATGATGGTTTGGCTTCTGTGAAAAATGTAAGAGGAGTTATGGGAACCAGGATTTTGTATCTTAAATAAAAACAAGCAAACAAACAAAACAATGTTTTTGATCACCATTTGGCCCCAACCATGAAAATAAAAAATGTCAAAACCTTATTGCACGTTTACAGAACATCACCAATCTTAATTTGGCTACTGCGTAAAATGTAGGAGGAGTTCAGAGAATATGGTTTTTGTAGAAAAGTGCCGTTTTTCGACTCCTAGTTCGCCCCGATGATGAAACTGAAAATTCTGAAATCGCACTGCACATCTTCAGGACTCCATCAATCATATTCCTGAAAAAAATTGCCTTCTCCCTACTATGTAAGAGAAGTTACTGGTACAAGGCTTCAGTAGAAAAACGTCGTTTTTCGACCCCCCCCCCCCCCCAAAAAAAAACCCGGGTGAAACTGAAAAGTTTATTGATTATTAATGGAACTCTGTGTATTATAATTCAAAAGAATTGACTAATGTGCAAATGTAAGAGGAGCTTGTAGAAGACTGTGTGACAGACGGACGGACGAACAGATCATGTACTAGAACTATTTTTAAAAAGTGCCGGTATAACTAGAATACAAGCCTTTGAGAGTATTGCGTAGTCCACTACCGGATGTAAACTTGATCTGTAACTCATCAAGAGAAATTCACATGTGTACCAAAAATTAATATGTGCAAGTATCTGGAAAAGGCCATAAAAAACAAAGTGGAAAAGACTGACTGACAGAGGAAAAGATAGACAGAGAGGAAATAGCTCTCTAGTCCTCCCATCCGTAGGGGACTAATAAATAATATATATATAGTTATTTCCCCTATCACAGATAATGGTTAAATACTATACAAATTCGATCTAGACTATGAACAATTCATACAGTGAAAAAATGTATACCCAAATGTTACCGACATTTCAAAAACTATAAAACTAAAGTCTAAAATACCATCGTTTTTCAAATTTCAGGCGCGTAGTCAGAATAGAAATGATGTGTACGCAGAGAACGGCAGGGGGTTGGGTGGGTGGGTGGGGGGGTCTTGAACCCCCTCCCCCCCCCCCCCCCCAGTGTTTAAGGGCTCTGGTCAGGCACGTAATATAGCTTTTGCCAGCCAGGGAAACATTACAACTTTAAAAATTTTGTCAAGCAAGGACGAAAAAGGAAGATTGTCAAAATTCGAAGTCCTACTTCTTGTGTGTGTGTGTTTGTTGAAGGGAGGGGTGTCCATCTTTCACAAACCAATTTTTTATTAATACATTACCAAACTACCATGATTTAACAATGGTGCAACAAACAGTGGGGGTCCACCCTTTCAATGTACATTTTTTCAATAGTAAAAGGGTAGGTTTTGGGAATAAATAATGGGGAGGCTCTCCTGATACTACGTGCCTGCTGGTGAGGGCCCAGAAGCTCCGGAGTTTTACCAAATATTTCATTCATTTTCTTGAAATATAAAAATTATACCATTTAGTTTTTGTTTAGGAAGTAAAAGACATAGTAATGATTATTGTTTTAAGGAGGGATTCTTGTTTGGTTTCTGACTAGATGAAACATTCCAAGTATATTTGCTTGTATGTCTTATAAACTTAGCTGTAATATATTTAAAAGATCATATTTTTCTTTACTCATCATTGTACAATTTTAAATAGAAATGGTAAACTGAGTTTGAAATCCATAAGGGACTATATTTTTGGCGCAACTGTGGCGTATGAAAATATCTCCTTTTCTGCCTATCAAAATCACTTACAGAACATTACATGTGGTTAATTTTTTTAATCAATCAAAGACTTGAAGAAATTTTGATATGTAACTAAAATTAATAATAATGCCCTAAGTTTTAAAACATAGCAAATAAAAATGATTTTCTAAACAAACTACCATCTTGTTAGCTTTTGAAAGCCTCCGACCTTAAAACAGATTCGAGCAAAAAATCAGTAAAAAGTGTTTTTTTTCTCTATTACTAAACGGTCAAAGCTTTTCGTTTTTGTATCATTTTGTATATTTGACTACTTTACCATATGTAAAAATAAGAAATATTTAAATATAAGAAGTATATAAAAATAACTAATATATCCTAAAAAATTAAGAAAAACAGAGGAAATCCGGATTAGCCAATATCTATTTAAGTTAAATAATGTCAATTAATTTGGTAGATAGACCCGATATGGTAGCATCTTTTTGTGTAAAAAGAAAAACATTTTATCTTTTAAAATAGAAGAAGGCATCACATGATTAGCAACAGTAATTCTGTGCTCTAAATGTCAAGGAAAAAGATAATGACCTTGACCTGACCTTGCTTCTAAAATAAAACGGTCAAATTTAATCTAATTGATACCATCACTTAGTGATATTGTCTTCTTGAATCTATGAAAATTTCATCAATTTTTAAATACAAGAAATATGGGTAGAATAAGAGAAGAATCCCTCCTTAACGAAAATTAATATTCCATGTAAAGTTATTGTACATATAATTGAGGCTAAAATTTAACCGATATATTAACTGATATCATATAATCATTCTTAACGTTTAAAAACACGTATACAAAATTTTAATTATGAACAAAAAATATCGTATTGTAAATCATACTAGTAGATCATAGCATTCAACGATGTGGCTGAAATTAATTTTTTCAAAGATCTTTAAAAAAAAAAAAAAAGATCAATGTATGATAGAACAATGACAAAATAATGAATGATTTATTTGGATTTGTCAGTTATTAAATAAAAGATTTCAGATTTTATCATACAGCCATGATAATTTAAAATTTAAATCAACACAGTGTGACACAGAATAATTTAATTGAAACACGAATATTTGTTGGATGGTACTGAGAATTTTTTCTCCGAATAATTCTCTCTTTTTTCTTATCTTTTTTTTTTTTTTCTTTTTTTTTTCTGAAAATGATGTGTACGCACTTGCGTATAGGCAGCTACGCGCCTGAATTTGTTTTATTGACAATTCACACACAGGAACATCTCTCTCTCTCTCTCTCTCATAACCTAGTATTATAGTTCTCCTCATCAAGAATATTAAAGACGGGATTGTCTGTCCCTGCTTTCTCCGCATTATTATTCTTCGAATCCACCACATTTGTAGTATTTTCTGTTTCCTCCGGCTTATAAACAAGAGATGCAATAAAAAGGAGAACAACCCCTGTAAACTTGGTCCCCATCCACCACAACATAAGACGAAGCCCTAGCGGCCATTTGTCGTATATCCAGCAGGACCCTCGTACTCCACAATTCTCCTGCCACACTGAACAAGTGCTGTCTAAAATGACTCCCAGGAATATTGGTCCCGGTAAAGTTCCTATTCAATCATTAAATAATTGACTATGTTAATCTTCAGACACAGATGAATCATATTAGTTATTAAAATAAAAGCGTTAAAAGATAAATGTTAATAATGCCAATTAATGAAATACAATTTCTTACCAAGTAGTCGACCAAATGTCAACTGTATTCCAAGTCCAAGTGATCGTTGTTGTTGTGGAATACATCTGAAAATTTACTTGATTACTTTGATGAACAGTATATGTGTAATAAATATTTCTTCGATATCATTTTTAGAGGAAAGTGTGGCAACCATCCTAAAATTCAAGTCACACCAGACTTTCTTAAAAACAAACTTTAGGAATTTCTAAAAACATTTTTTGCTCAATTAATATAAAAATACATGAATATCAATCAAAAAGCAAAACTAAAACTAAAAAAACTAAAACTAAACTAAAAAAATTAAAAAGAATTAAAATTTAAAATTAAACTAAACTAAAAACTTAAGCAAAACTAAACAAAACTAAAACAAAAAACCAAAGCAAAAAAAACTTATGCTAAAATCATAAAACAGTAACAACCTTGTCCAAACGAAAGTTTTTTTTTCTCTGGTGATTTTATTTCATATCATGCTTACCTGAACATTGCTGTCAATGTTGGTGACGTTGTAGAAAATGTCAAAAACATCATCAAAAACAGGAGAACACAAAACACATAAAACCAAGCACATCTTCCCGAACACGTTCCGCTCCTCAAGGTCATGGACGGGGCACTGGTGTTTATACAGGAACATTCCTGATATACCTGGTAGGAAAGCATACATGTATGTAATTTATCTTTGTCGATAAATTGTATTTTAACTTATGCTTTTCGATTTGTCTGTTTGGCTGTCTGCAAAATATTTTAGAATTCGATGATCAAATTGGAATGGTGGGAAAAGATGGGACAAACAAGAATTTTTGGAAGGGCTATCGTTCTTTGAATAAGTTAGATGATAAGTTTACTGACGCAACAATCCAGGAGGGATTCACTTCATTCGCCGGATTCATTTCAAAATTAAAATACTGGAAACATATATCCTAAAATTGTCTTCAATACTTTCCGAGAAAACCTATAGACAGACCTATAGACAGACAGACAAATTGATCCAAACCAGGCAAATTCATTTGTTGAGAAAATTTTTAAAAAATCAACAAGTGCAATATGAATGATTAAAGTCGCAGGTATATTTCTTAAACACACTTTTTCATACTTAAATGTTGATACACATATTTGCGTTGTAAGTAACAAGGAATTTTAATTATCAATCATTTTCAAAGATACTTAAAATCTTATTCAAAATGTATTTTAGCTACCTTGGTTTCATTTACATTGGTGATACTTTTGCACCCTGCATGGCATGGAGAAAAATAAACAATTTGGTTTTCATCGCATATAGGTTCATATCCCTTAGTAGTACATCCACAGTCCGAGTTACAGGGGGAGATGAAAGACGAGTCCCTAATTAAATAAAAAGTAAGCATTCAAACTGTTGACACTTATAATAACCGTTATTGTTTAACTGCATGTAAATCTTTAAGATATTTATACCAACACTAGGCCTGAGAACATTTACTGTCAGTTGAGTATCAAACGTTTTTGATCAAGTCCAATATACAACATCTAGGACACGGTCATTCGTCTAAATTTCATTATTACCAATCTCTGATTCAAACTATTCTAATGACCTTGACATTGTCAAAAGACCTTGGATTAGTTACGAAATTAGCTTGCCTGGTTAAGGTTATTCCTTTTAAGTACATACATGAGCTTCTCATATTCTTCAGTTACTTTAATAATTGCTTCAGATGGGGTTTCATGCTTCCCTTTCAATAAACTTCACATTTGCTTGATGGCCAAAGATGAGAATTTGATCGCTTGTATTTAGTGAGTACATTACCAACAATTTAATGAAAATACTTCTTTCACCTATTTGATGGATATGTTGTTGACACACCAGCAATAGGGCGGCTTGGACAACTGGCTAGGAATGAGGGTCCCAGTAACATGCAGAGGAACAGGCATGCGCAACTGAAGCGAATGATACCTCGGCATTTTAAGTTGAATTTTTTCACTACATAACCTCCAAAGAGCATGCCACCAGCAGACCCAGGTACAGTAATGAAACCTTAAGGTAAAATATAAGATCAGTTTCATTTGTCAGGTAGCACTTATTTGCAGAAATATTGTACATTTTATTTTTTTACCCATCAGATTCCCGGCCTCCAATATATCTACGTTAAAAAATTCTTGGAACAATTTCGCGCCAAATGTCGCTAGCCCTCCAATGATAAAGATTTCAACAGTTCCCCCTAGGATGATGAAAACAAAAGCAGGATTCTTGGCCTGTAATAACAATTGTTTCAAAGCAGTTGAAGAAAAGTTTTTGAAACGGTTTAACAATAATATTAAGACTATCTCACTCCTGTCAAACTTAATAGTAGTTGGTACACTGTGAACCTCTTTTGCGTGCAAACATACTGCTTTTACAGCCAGAATTTAAAATATTAAATGTATCTTTATCAAATCAACTCATATAATTTCATTAATTCAGTGTAGACATAATTCAAAGCCATTTGAACGCAAAAATAAGGAATTAATGTTGCTTGCAAATAAAAAAAAAGAGTTCAAGGAGAAAAGTATACATACTAGAAGCCAAAGGGATTTTGGAAGATGCCTTATACTCTTGCCAAATTTCTCTTTTTCTTTATAGACTTTCTCAGAATTAGTTTGAGCTTCTGAAACTTTTTCTTTCTGCAGTTCTTCGTAACCTAATTAAACATTGAAATGCAACTCACACATATCACATGTTGTTCATCAAGCAAGGTAAAATGAAATATATATTTTTCTACAAAGTAAGTACATGTAATAGAATATCAAGAATTAATTGAATTTTTATCATAAGGTTTATATTACCTGGAAGTCTTCTGGGATATCCGATTATTGGAAACAAAACCAATATAAACCCTCCCATTCCTGCCAAAATACAGATCCACCACGCCCCTACCCATTGTGGGCTCAGTGGACTCAGAGAAAGGCTGAAATTTTTTTTAAAAAATATGTATGTGCCAATGAAGTAATCGGAAAGACCCTAACCAAAAAAATATAATAGAAAGGTTATATTTACTTGCTTATGTCCATTTTATCCACGTCTACAAAAATGGACAGAGATTGTGCTCCTGCAATGTAGCCTACAGCAACACCGAGTGCCGCGCAACAAAACGTACAACCTGGGAAGCAACAATTTGATACTGGTATTGTAATTATAAAATCACTGTCATTCGATTGGGAGCCGAGGCACATTTACAAATAAGAAAACCGACTGAAGAATAAGCATTTATGATCTTTTACGCATACAGAAGAACTTTAGCATCACTATATATACTGAACTGGTGCAGAGAGAGAGAGAGAAAGAGAGAGAGAGAGAGAAGGGGGGTAGTACCAAAGTAGAAGGGAGAGTTCCTGGTTTTACTGTTCTCCTCGATGTATGTTATGCCCAGTGTAAACGATGGGACTGCTCCTATACCGATGAGTGCATTTCCTAGTAGTAACATTGAGTAATAGCCTTTGTAATTTTGCTTCGAACTTTGAATTGAACAGGTTGCTGCACTTGAATTTGATGCTACGCAGACGTTGTCGGTAGAATTTTCTGCTGCACCTACATGAAAAATTGAATGCAAAGTCTCAAATAAAGGCAAATGTCAAAGTTGTTTATATAACTGATGCTCGAATAGCATATGTTCTTTAACTGACTTGATATGGTGTAAGTGTATTAACTGACTTGATATGGTGTAAGTGTATTAACTGACTTGATATAGTGTAAGTGTATTACTTACTTGATATAGTGCAAGTGTATTAACTGACTTGATATAGTGTAAGTGTATTAACTTACCCGATATGGTGTAAGTGTATTAACTGACTCGATATGGTGTAAGTGTATTAACTGACTTGATATATTGTAACTGTATTAAGTAACTTACTCGATATGGTGTAAGTGTATTTTTCTCCGACGAACTGAGGAAGAGCAAACACAAAACATCCTATAGACATCAAAAACATTCCAGCTCCCATCAGACGAGGCTTATTGGCATAAGTTCCCAAATATCCCACAATCATTAGCAGCGCTGCAGCTCCAAAATCATTGGCAGAGGCGATCATGCCTGATTCCTTACTGGACAATTCATATCTTTTCTCTAATGTGACGATGATTATGTTAATGACACCATTGACGATGAACCCCTCACAGAACGAGAAGATACAATGAAACAGTACATGCCATCTTATCGTATTAAGGAATTGAAGACAGCTGAAAAATTTAAAAAAAGAAGAGTGGGACTATGTTTTTTGTTTTTGTTGTGTGTGTGAGGGTGTGTGTGTGTGTGTTTGGTACTTTTTGATAATTGAAGTAATTTCGGATATTTGCAAAGCATATTTTACACCAGTGAAAAATAAAATTACATTTAATGCATTACAAAAAAAGAAAAGTAAGTCTGAAGACAACCTAGCTACAAAAATGTTAAGTTATGTTGTATTACTTAAAGTAGCATCCCTCGTTCCACATATCTGTCCTTTTTCTCTTTGTCATTATTGATTAAGGAATGGTTATCAAGAATTCAGATTATGAATTCGTCATTTTCTACAGATCATCTAGAAGGTATATCTTCTTGAAAGAAAATAATGCTGAAATTTACACCTATGGTATCCTTTCATCTCCCAGACATTACTTTCGACTTAAAAAACATGTTGAGACATAGATTATTTCCGATATATGCAAAACTTACCCCGGTCGAACGCTTAAGCAACCATATTTTGATTTCTTGTCTGCATCATCTGACATGATGTTGGATTCAGCTTAAAATCCCTGAAACTGCTCCTGGTTCTCTGTCACTGTTTTATAAAATTTTCAAGTGTTATAACTTTAAACAGCTATTTAAATATTCGTTAACACGCACAGTAAGTAAATGTCCCTGTGCTTACTTTATGTTTGACCTCTTCAATGCTTCAAAATCAACACAAAGTGTGATAAAACAAGATAAATTTCAGACGAATTGGAGATTTTTTTGTTTCTAAAAATTTGGTATTTATGTTTCTCCTGAACAGATTTTCAAAGTTAATTTGATACGAGACGGAAAAGTTTTCTCGGATTCTGTTCCTTAATTTATGAAGAGTTAAAAAACTTATAAAGTTTTTCTTTCAAAGCAAAATAATTTACATAACATTACCTGACTTTTATTTGAACCCGACTTTTAAAAACTTCACGGATCTCTGAATTTCAATAAACATTGTTGGATTGGGTCAACGTTTTCATTTGTACTGCATGTCAATTACCAGTAGTCCAGCACCTGAGATTTTATTTCCATGTTTATGGAACAGGTATCGTACAATACACGGCCTTACGATTTAGGTTACAGATTTTCCAGAGAATAGGTTAATCTATTTGTATTCACTTTTTTGAACACATTACAATTAGTATATCTTATTTAAGGTACTGAATTTTAAGGGGGGGGGGATTAACTTTCAATTTACTGTAAAATGAATACATTTTCAGAGAATGATATTCCCTTAAATTCCACCAAATGCTAATCTCGTCATCACTACCAACATCTGTGCACGTAAAAATCAAACGTAAAATTCAAACAGTAAAAGATGTTTTAATTGTATCCGAATTGACTCAAAAAGTAAATCTAACATAGGACATCTCACATGCACATCTTTTTCCACATGCGCGGATCTAGAGGGGGAGGGGGTCGGACTCCCCTGGAATTTGCTGAGTTATTAAATGCACTTAGTAAAGTAATTAAAAAATGACCTTGGACTCTCTTAGAAATGTCTCCACCCCCCCCCCCCACGAAATAGGTTTCTTTACGTTTGGTAAAGGAGTTTACGGTTTTTCGGCTTTTTTTCGGGAGGGGGGGGGGCCTTGACAAACAAATTTCTGGGTTGGATTTTTTTTTTTGCACTGAGACACCCCCTCCCCCGGAAAAAATTCCTGGATCGGCGCTTGTTTCACTTCCTAAAACGATCAAGGGTCATAGAAGAGAAATGTGGATTCTTTCTTGTAGGAATATCAGTGAAAAGAGACAGAGCTTCCCTTTTTGAATGTCTAATGAAAGATTGCACGTGCCTTGCCACATATACTACATCCATATTGAATTGACATTAAATTACTAGTATATAGGGATTATTCAACAGAGATCAGAATGAGTCTTTTTTTTTTCATTTTGCACCAATTAATTAATACAGAATCCATCTAAATAGATAATAAGGTGTACATATGATTTATCAACCTCATTTTCTTTATAAAAAAACGGTATTATAAATATCAACATTGATAGGAAAAGCATAAATAATGAATAATTAATGTGAAGAGGTAACAACGTCGAAAATGACATGAATCTCTCTCTCTTTCTCTCTCTTACCTTATTTTCTAATGTTGGTGTCATCTGAGTGAGATTTTTTTTGTTTACAGTTTATTAATGTATGCAAAAGCATTTCACAGTTAAGTACACATGGGTTACATTTACACACACTTTCACCTTCTTACCTGGAACCTTATTAGTCAATGCTTTTGGTTTATTCCCCGACGCCTACTCCGTAAGGGATTGTTTACCACTGATGCTATTTTTGTTCTACAATCGCTTATAAATAAGTACCTGTCTGCTAAGAATAGATTATATTGTTGTTTTGTAGACTTTCAAAAAGCCTTCGATTCTGTTGATAGAATAAAATTATGGCAGAAATTGTTTCATTTAGGCATCCAAGGTAAAATGTTAAAGATAATTAATAGGGATGTCAAATCGGTCAATTTTTGATAATCGGTTACTCGGACGTTTTTCCGATCGAGTACCCGGGTACTCGATAAAAGTGTAAATACAAGTGTGTTAATTTTCTTGAACCCCGTGAAACCCCAAGGCTGTTTTTATCACGTGTATAAATGTACTATATAAACACCGATTCCAACGTAAATGATTTTGGCATTAAATTTATTTATCAAATAAACACATAAGACATAATTATTAGATCAAAAATTACAAATGGTTTACAGCTCTTGTTTAGAATCTATATTTCATCAAAAGTAGGACACTCTGTTATGCAGGTTTGTAATGATTAGACTAGCGAAAGAGAAGCAACGGACGTTGTTGGGATCGCTAGTCTAATATTATAGTAAGTTTAGTCTAATATTATAGTAAGTTTAGTGTATCAGGGGAAACAATTTTATATGTTGATTACACTAACTGACTAAACTTACTACGCTGACCCTCAACATTTTTTAAAAATATTTAGTTATTTCTAAGTATTTCTTCACTTTTGAAGTGAGTTGTGGCATTTCTATGCATGTCCGATTTCGCTGCCGTATATTAACTAAATGATTTAAAAATGATTTGAAGATAATAGACCATCGATATTCACTGAAAACAATCACTGAAGCCATCCAAAAATTAAGGACCACAATAGGTGAGAACAGCTGGGTCACTAATTACTGTACACAGCCACAGGCGATAATTGGTGTTTTAGAGGTGTAGAAGACTACAAGCTATAATTACACATATGCAATATGCATACATGTATTTAAATTAGTTTTTGATAAGTTTTTGATAAAAATAAGTACTTTGAAATAAGAAAAAATACATATCCGAGTAACCGAGTACCATTTTTAGTATTCGATACTCGGACTTTCGATCGAGTACCCGGTTAACCGGGTACTCGTTGACATCCCTATAATTAAATTTCTATACAATAATGTTAAAAGTTGTGTTGTATTGTATTGTTTATTACCAAGAACCATACAGTTCATAGGTTTAAAGTATATACATGAATCAATTTGTACATTATATATATATAACATTTCATTATCATTTGTACATTAAGTAAAGCAGGATCATAGTAAAGGATCTTACATACTATTCATTCTTGGTTCACAAAGCAGACAATTGCACCTTAATATATATTAGTTCATAAAGCAGACAAAAGCACCATATTAAAAGTTGGTAATACATGTAGTAATAGTGAGGATAATCTCGTTATATCAATGTGAGTTAACTTATGCTCTCAATCTTGTACATTTATAAAGATATTTTCCTAGTTTACATAACTCTGTTACATTTTTTGTCGACAACAATTGAACAAGTTTAAAGGTAGATGGTTTTTGGTGATAATATTTCTTAATATACTCTTTTCTAAAATCGGAAAAAAACGGACAAACCAGAATAAAATGATAAAGTGTTAAATACAACGGTTTCTCAGCGACTACTACCAGACATTGGTCTAATGCAAGGAGAAACATTATCACCAATATTATTTTCACCATATGTTAATGATTTCGAGGTTGGTTTTATATCAGAAAACTGCCCCTATATTGATTTGCAGATGCTAAACTTATTCATACTTATGTATGCAGACGACATGGTTATTTTTGCTGAATCTCCAGAAGGATTACAAAAAATGTTAAACACACTATGCAGTTACACTGAAGAATGGAGTCTTTCCGTTAATGTAACAAAAACTAAGGTTGTTATCTTTAGAAATGGTGGTAAATTACATAATGATGAATCCTGGTTTTATAATAATGTTGAATTAGAAATTGTGAATGAATTTGAATATTTAGGTATTTTATTTAATTTTAATGGAAAATTTTTAAAAACGCAGAAACATGCTGCTGAACAAGGTAGAAAAGCTGTGTTTGCTATTTCAAGTAGATTAAAGAGGTATGAATTCAATGTAGAAACTTTATGTTCAATTTTTGATACTTATGTATGTAGTGTATATATTACTTTATGGATCTGAGATATGGGGTTTTCACAGATGTCCCGATGTAGAAAAGGTACATTTAAATTTTTGTAAAAATACTCTTGGTGTTGGAAAGAAAACCTCAAACAGCTTGATTTATTCAGAGCTTGGGCGTTTTCCACTATATGTTACAATGAAACTAAGAATATTTAAATATTGGATCAAATTAAGAACAACAGAAAATTGCATTCTTAAGTCTTGTTATGAAAATATGGTATTACAAAATGACAAATGGATTTTACAAATTAAAAAAGAACTGTCTTTTCTAGGATTAGGACAACTTTGGACAGAAAACCATTTAAATGATAGAGCTTATAACATTATAAAACAACGACTTTTAGATGTTTCAAAGCAAAACATAACAGAGAGTATATCAAACTCTCCAAAGAGTTATTTGTATCAACATTTAATTGACAATTTCTGTTTGCAATCATATTTAACAAAACCTATTGACAAAAAATTTAGAAAACTATTAACAAAATTTAGGTTATCAAATCATATGTTGAATATTGAAACAGGTCGATACCATAACATACCAAAGATTAATAGATTATGTACATGTTGTAATCTCCATGATATAGAAGACGAATTTCATTTTATTTTGAAATGCCCTTTGTATATATTGATTTAAGAGAGAATTTTTTGAAAAAAGTATTATTATAACAAGCCTAGTGTCTTTAAATTAATTCAACTGTTAAGTTCTAATAATACTAAGTTAAATTTGGGCAAATTTTTGAATGCTGCCACATTGTTAAGAAAAAATAATATCGATGTATAAGACTATTTTCATCTATGTATTTTTTACGTTCACTCTCTCTGTATGATTTTGTTTTCTTTTTCCATGATTGTATTATTATTCTGATGCATAAGCCAGTTGGCTTAAAGATATACACGCTATATAAACGCGATTTTTTTATGTGAAACAAAATGATTAAATGATTTGAGAAACATGATGTGTAATAAAAAATAATTACTTACCACAAAGTTTTACTAAATAAGTCGTTGTAATTACAAAACAATTAAGCAAGATCTGCAATTTAAAAGAATTCAGCCTATTTATGAATATTGATGAAGGAAGTGTGT